AACAGACTCTGCAAAGCAAAGCAATAACAATTTAGTTACCCAACTACTGATGTTCTTTCCATTCATGGGATATGTTGGAGAAATAGGATCCCCTCATCATTTTAGTTCAGGATACTCTTGAGACTGCAGGAAGCTTTGGGAACTGCACACGTGATCACAGTCAGAACAACTGCCTAGAGCGCACAGAGTCCTGGCTACCACTTCCCACAGAGACCCCAGCACAGGGACTTATTCAGTTTACTCCAGGGCACATTTCAAAGGAAGATTTGCACTCTATGGATCAGAAACACAAAATAACACAGAATAATCCAGGAGGAGCTGCTCAAAGCTGGAGTCAGGCAAGGGAGTTATGCATTTCAGTGCACATGGTTAAGCACCTTACCAGTTAATGTTCCCGGGCACCTTTCAGATATGACCTTAGTTCAGAGGATCCACATTCAATTACCTTTGTTCCTCAATGAATATTTTGAAAGGGTAGTGTGGTGCATAATGAGAGGAGGGACTTCGTGGCATTCAGTGACTTCGCTGCTCAGTCAGCTATAGGCATTTCTTCAGCAAAATGTATTTGAGATCTAGAGACCTTTGGGGTTTTAGATACTTAATTGCAGTGTTTGTTGAAAAGGTACTTCTAGTACTGCTCTTATTCTGCTTAACTTCTCTTGAAAACCTAAATGAGCCAGCTAGCAAAATCCCCTTGTGGACTGAACTGTTTAGGCTCATAGGTGCCCCTGGTGTGCAACAGGAAGTTGAAGGATTTAAAATTTAAATATTGGTACCAACAGTGACAGTTGAATAAAACTATCACCTAAACTGTTTGTGGCTCTTGCCTTTAGTCTTTCAGCTCTCTTTCTCCAGCACTGGGACAATAGCACAATAAACCAGAGATGTTTTAAGATGCATTTACGCTGTGTTAACAAAGTAAAGCATGAGACACATAGAAAACCTGTGTTTATAGCACCTGTGTTTATAGTAGATAGCAGGAATTTTCCCTTTTCTTATTTCTAAACTAAGTCTCTAAGTCTCAACATTATTTCTTTGCTGAAATCTAGGATTTTCCAGAAGTTCATTGAAACAAACTTATCAATATCTACAGAATTTGAACTCCTCGATCATTTTAATCATCGTATTTCCATCCTAGCTCAGTGATAGCTCTTCTAAACTTAATTTCTTTATTGAGCAAATACCTCTAAGGTAGCTCACCATTTAATCAGCAGGACCAAGTTGTACAAATTGAACCTGTAACATAGTATCAAAATTGTCATAATGCTTTCAATGACTTCCCTAAAAATGACATCTCTAACATGGAGGCTATACCAAATGCCTAGAGTACACAAACATTTTCTGCAGCACAGAAAGATTATATAAACAGCAATGACTTATCTGTTTCTGCATGCTAGTATGTGAGAGAAAATGGAGGGCAAATTTTTGAAGTTTCAGCCACAAGTGACTACTAAGTGTTTTTGGTGTATGGACACAGATCCATGTGTAGAAGAAGGCTATGTGACTTAGTGTCTGTATTTATACTTAGTTTCTTTCATGAATGCAAAAGTTCTCCTTTATAAACTATTCAAATAACATTAAAAAAAAATATATATAAAATATTCTTGACGACGGATCTTCCATCTGCTGAAGTCACATGAAAACAGTGTGTCTTTACTTTAGTCATGACATAACTACATTACATACTTCATACTGGATATCAGGGCCAATAGTGATGATCCCTTAAGAAAACTAAAACTGTGATTGAAGTACACAGAGAGTATTAGAGGATTTTGCTCTGAATCACCTTTAAGAATAACCTACCTCTCTGAAGACTCAAGAGTGGGCACAGCAACTGAGCTGAAGTTACAGTAGCAAGCAAGCCACTGTGTTGAAGAAAAAAAATATTTTCATTCCAACATAGATTGCCCACATGGGGGAGGTACAGTTATTCTGCAATGGCTCTCTTGGTCTACTTTCCTTTTGCAGCTATGGGTTTTACATACATTTTCTATTTTTCCAACACCTGTACTTTATTGTTTGAATGATTCAATATAAGGTTTAAATTTTACGCAAAGAAAAAATACTAAAAGCCATTCTCAATAGCACTGTTGCTGTTGGGTCACGTTGAGAAAAAAAAGGGGCTGTAGAACTGATCAACAGTTATTCCCACTGGATATGTGTTTGCTTGCTATCTACATGGAAGCATGTTTGTTCTGGGAGACCAAAGACTACCAAAGTGTTACTGCAGCTTCAGAGGAGGAACTCACGGTATATTACAGTCACACTTGTGACCCTCATTACTCCATCACACTCTTCTTTTGGCAAGCAGGCAGTTTGCCTTTACAGAAAGCAAAGCACTGGATCATTTAGTGGTACTGATATACTGGATGCCACCAGTAGCAAGCTCAGGCTTTTGCACCAAGGGCTAGATGCCTTTCACCTCTAGGCTTTGCCTATAAGCCAAGGACGACAGTCTTTCTTTTCTCACTTCCCAGATACACAAGTCCAGTCATTCCTCACTTTGCAACCCAGAAGCACTCCTTGGGCACTGCTACTAAGCTTCTACTTTTGATTACTTCAAAGACCCTTTAGAGTACCCACTCATTGCAAGGTGTAAATATTAATATACTTTCTATTCTAGGCATTTCTGAAATGTCTTTGTTGATATTTCACATAATGCTTTGCCCTTGTTTTTCTAAGCAGATTTTATTCTCCTGCAGTAGAACAATGTTTATCACAACAGGGGATAAAAGTCAACAGTGATTTACAAGGCAGTGACACAGAAAAAACTGAACTACTGTGTTGGAGGAACTCAAAACTTTCTATCCTTTATGATTTTTAACCAGGATAGTTAGGTATTCTTGTTGAAATAGTCTATCACATGCAGAAAGAACATTTTAACACAATGTATTTATTTCTGAAGGGAGTAAAAACATAACGAGGTACTGAATTTGATGATTCTGAGGACTCTGCTGCAATCTAGATACCTAAAAAGAGTAATGGAGTAAAGATTTTTTGTATATTTCTAAAATGAATAAACATGCAGAGAAACAGCGAGATAAAACAGAGCCACTGGACTAGTATGCAGATGTGAGTATCATACAGAACAGAAAATTAACAAAGCTAACAGGAATGATTCCCAATCACAATGATCCTAAACTATAACACTACTAAAAAGACACCGAATCTTCACATTTTGAAAAGTAAGTTGCCTGTTCACATGAACTTTACCTCCACCTACTATATCAGATGTGATTCTTGATAGAACTGGAGAAAATAAGAAGTTAAGAAATAAGGTATAAAATCTAGTATAAAAGTAAGATGTTCAGGGGATCATCGTAGGATATTTTCAAGACCCAGCTGATCCAAGTCTCGAGCAGACAGCTGACCCCACTTTGAGCAAGTGGTTGGACTGGATGACCTCCAGCATGTTCTTTCAATCAAAGCTGATTTATGATTCTACAAACATTCCTGCTTTTGCTTAAATCCAGCTTACTATCATTCATTCTTACAGATGCAAATTGGACAGTATGACTGTTTTTAAATTGTCATTTATTTAATTTAAATAATTTAAGTAATTTAAATCTTAAATTAAATATGATTCCTGTGCAGTGGCATAATGTTAGTTTGCTTTTCTGGATGCATCCTTTTTTTTAAGGAATTAATTCCAGTTCCTTCTTTTGCTGCTAGTCAAATGATTTCTGAAGACTGCTCTTATGAAATTACAGACTCATTACATTTAGTAATGATATAAAATAAATATGCTAAGTCTATCTGTCGCAGATCATCAAAGACAAAACTGTGCAGCAGTGTGGAGCTGAATGCTTTTGGGAAACAGCAGAACTGCTTCACAGCAGTTCATCTTTGACTGCAGTGTGATCTTCATGGGGAAATACATAAGACTTTTTTAAATGTGGATTTTAATTGAATAAAAATAGCTGTGTTAAAACTGTATATTTTTCATCAGAAAATTGCATCTTGCCAGTTATGAATGGGCAGCCACAAATTCATGTAAATACATGGAGGGGAACACAGTGCAACCACATGCTTGATATTGCTTTCCGCTAATGGTGAAAGATAAAATTCTTTTTAAACAAACAACAACAACAACAACAACAATAAAAACCCAGTTATTGAGATGAGACTTAAGAAAACAAAGAAGTGACCCCAACTTCTTAATTTCATTTAAAGTTCATCAGCTATTTTTCAGCTCTTCAAAATGTTATCATGGCACTCACTATTCTGGAATGCCAATAACCTTTCCTCCTTTCATTATGCATCCATTTATATACAGGATTTCTGAGCCTAATCACTAGGGCTAAAAAACACAACGTATCCATTATGCCTCTGCATAGATGTGGGAGAGAACCAGTGCTACATAAATTTATTCTATGAAGGTCAGTGAAGGTCAGTGACCAAAGAACTTTTTGAAAAAGCTTCAGCTGCAGTTTCCATTTTACTGTCTGTGCTCCAACTGCTCCACAGAGTAAAATTTGTTCCTACTATTGAGTAGGCTGTCATGAATGTGGCAGTGAGAGGCTGAAGGACCCAATGTGCTCACTAACTATGGGAAATAAGGAGAGAAAAGAATCTGGTGTTTACAGAACAAGTGTGTCTTTATAGTTACAATGCCACCCAGATCTCTCTGCAGTAAAATTGTTTTTGATAAAGCAATGGGTATAGGGAGAAAACATGAATTTTATTATGATTTCTACTTCTCATGTAGTCCTTCAAAAGAATTTTAAAGCAGGATAAAGAAAATAGGAACAAGGGCTCAATTTCTAAAACAATTCCTTTGATCCTTCTTAACTATTTTTTTTTAAATGGATGAAGTGAAATAGGACAATGTTACATGGCTAAAGAATGCAAGTAAGGTCTACCAGTATGTATGTGAATGAATGTATGTAAACCCCAAATATAACATCTCTCTGTGCTGAGTGAGCAGTTGGAAATGTTTTTGTATATCCTTTGAGCACAGCTGCATATACATGTCAAAAAAGAAAAATCCTTTTCTTTACCTTTGGAGTTTGCTGCACCAGCTGCAGTTGAAACCAATCTGGGCAGTGACACAGGGACCACAGCTGTTAAACTGGAGACAAGCTGGGAAGCAGGTAAGTAAACACAAATTATTACAGTAGTCTAACAAATAATTATCACAGAAAGTATGAGAGAAGGATACATCTTTTGACTATATATATGTAGGGAATATACAGGTTCACAGATTTTCAAAATAACAGACTAAAATCAGCCTACTATAAGGCAGTGCACAGAGGAACATCTTATCTGTAGGATTTCATTTGTATGCATTTGTAAATGTAATCTCACTTCCACAACAGCTCTTTCAGCTTCATTGCCAGAGTTTTTATCTTTCTATAAATTATTTAATATTTCATTAAACTTTTCTTCCCTGGCGTCAGTGTTTTTTGGTGTTGCTATCATATAGACACATACAGACAATAAGATCGGCAGGAAAGTGTACAAGAAATACAATCAGATTAGAAAAAAATGAAAGATAGTTTCCAGTTTCTTTTTTTCACAGCAGTACAGCTGGCAGTTTAAACTGCAATATCACTAAACATCACTTTGAACAAAAGAGATGAACGAATTGCAAAATGTGTTTGGGGATGTTCCTTTCAGATGTGATGCGAAGTACTTAGTAGTATTTGTGCTTGTTTAGCAAGCATGAAAATTGCTCTATTTTCTTGAGGAAAAGAATTTAAAGGCAATATGAGCATTCTTTTGAAAAATTATTTGGCACAGATTTCACTCACAATCTAATGGGAGCTGTGTACCTACAAACTAACTTAAGATACATGAAGATGCAATGGATAATGCATCATTCAGCTGAGAATAAATCTGAGAGAAGATAAATGAATCTGTCCCTACTCCAAATTCACAGGTAAAACAAAACATTTAAAATTGTATGTGTGTTGCAGCTGAGGCTGTACCCCAGATCTGGCTACTTCACATTCTACAGTTTACTTACTTGGAAGAGGTATCATTTCAACAGCTGACAGATTTGTAATCTTTGACATCTGAAGCTCCACCCTGTGGTATTCGTAAATTGTTCTTCTGCGGACATCTACCAGGAAAGAAAAATAAAATATTTCCATACTCTATTATTTTGCAGTCTGTAGACTGTGAAAAATAGTGGATATATTGATTGCTCACAGTACCTTAGTTGAACATGACACCAATTTTCCTCAAGGATAAGTATTTAACTTTACACATTTTGAAGGAATATGTAAAAGCTATTGATAGGAAGTGTTGACAAAATAGGTACCTGTTCCTGGGAAAGGACTGTGAAAATGCTGAGCGAGCTCTCAAACTTCTTATTTGTTCATCTAGGTAGAAACTCTACTGAGCAAATTGTCAGGCATTTTAGGGTGCATTTCAGATTCTCTCTCTCCTAAGTTGTTTTTCAGCTTCGTACTTGAAAGATATGTTTTATATGCTCATTTTGTCAGTTATTGTCAAAACTTGCAAACAAAACTGATTTCACTGCTTAATCAAATTTGCTAGCTACAGGCTAGTTCATATCTAAATGCATTAAACATTAGAAAATTACATTATAAAGACAAGACAAGTCCTCCTAAATACGCACTGTAATGTATAATCTTGACACAAGCTGACTGCACCCAAGTTTCTCAAAGCAGAAATTCAATATAGTCAGTGCACAGTTCTTGTGGGCTGTGAACACATTGAAAGCAGTAAAATCAAAGAACGAGATAAGAGTGAAAGCATCATGCAATCTCTGTTTTCAAGATCAGTAATTATTTATTTTGAGTATACCAGATTTTAAGAGTATGGCTGCAATGCAAACTGCTGGAAAATTTGAAAATTTGCAAGTTAAAAGTACACACCATATGGCCAATCTGACATAATGATTTCCTGATGTCCTGGATTCAAATTCATATCCTCTTTGAAGGATATGCTAAACTTCAAATGAAATCAATGCTAAATACAATCAGTGATTTCTGTGAAACCATGCCAGAGAGGAATAAAGGGTTACACACAAAGGATTACACCTTGCTGCTTGGTATAAAGGCTGCATTTTTGCAGCTTGAAGTGCATTCCCTGGTTGGCATAAAATCACATAGCAAAAAACAGCAGTATTGTTCAGTCTCGTGGTAGGAAGGATGTTGCAGGCATTTTTCAGAAAGAAAATATATTGGGAAGAATTTCTTCTCAGAAAGAGTTCTTAGGCACTGGAACAGGCAGCCCATGGAAGGGGTGGAATCACCATCCCTGGTGGTGTTTAAGGGTGGATGTAGTGCTTTGGGATCTCATTTAGACGGTAATGTTTGTGGTAGGTGGACAATCTTAGAAGTATTTTTCAACCTTAGTGGGTCTATGATTCAAATAAATCTACAAAATAAATATTAGTCTTAAGGGAAGAGAAAAAGTGCATCCAAGGTGTGCCATGGCTAAGGCGCCTCTTGCTGTAAGGGTACAAAGCTTACTAGTCAATGAGGGATGAAGAACATCTAAACATAACATAAACATCTAAAAATAAACCTGGGAATTCTCTTCACTGCATACAAAAAATAACCACTGAGTTATTGGTATCAGTTGGAATAAGCAGGGGGAATCTTGGCGGACAGAGAGGGTGGCAGAAACAGAGCTGCACTATGGTGGGTTAATTCTCTTGCATTGGCCACGGTTGCTGCGTGGGAAGCAGCTTTGTCCTCCTTCACTGTGTAAGTTCTAACGCACTTGTAGTCAGCACCTGGTTTTTGGAAAATGATATTTCTTTTTAGCTCCAAACTAGCAGCATTGCCAAACACTTCCTCCTGCCATTTATTTGAGGCTGATTTTGCTGTTGCTTAACCCCTTCTGATAGGAGATTTCTCTCTTGGTCTGAAGTGTACCTTTAGTTGAGCTAGCAATGCTTTTTACCTACAAATTCAATCTGACAGGATAAGGGACAGAAACTGGAATGTGCCAAACATTTTCCCTAACAAATACCTTCTATTTAGCCACATCCTTCAAACCCAAGAGGAAGAAAGGGCTTTTAAGACAAAGCTAATCTTTTGCTGAGGTGAGGAAAATCTCTCTCCATCAGTAAGAAGTCTGTGTTCCCAGGATGATAACTCCAATAAGAGCACCTTCCAAATCAGAATGATCAGAAAATGCATTTGAAATGAACTGCCAATGCCGAAGGCTCTAATATGTTTCCACAGAAATCTTTATACTTCTGTCCAAAAAAACCACCAACAAACAAACCCAAAATAACGCTTAAATTAAAATGCAATTGCTGGCACTTTAGCTGAAATCCATTTCATTTCATCTGCCTTGGTATGGACTGCTGTGTTATAATCTTGTTTACTCCGCATATTCCCCAGCACACTTCATGCAAGGCTACCAAGGCATAAGGAGTTTTGGACTTCCCAAAAATCCAGGTCACAAACACTTTCATCTCACCCAGTACATGAACCTGCCAAAACACTGATGTTGAAGTGAGCTATGTTTGGTATCAAAACACATATTTTTAATCATGCATTGTCCAGCATGACTATTGATCACATTCAACCCCTCTGCATGGCATACTTAGGTAGGATCTTGTTTTCCTTCACCCAGAAGAGGGCTGTGCCAACTGCATACTGTCTACTGTGGGAAACCTGTGCACAAAATGGTAGTTGGGTAGTCACTTTCTAACCGCTTGCAGGCAGACAGTTAAACACACAAGCATTCAAATTCCTGTGCATGGCTAGGCTATAAAAATGCAGGTGTAGATTCCCTTGAAAGTCTGACTGGAAACCTGCTGTGCAGAGCACCTTTTTCTATTTAGCATTCCAAACCTGCATCTTAAATAAACAGGCTAGAAACATTAAACTCAACAGGATAAACTGAAATGTGAGTACTGTCCTCTGTCACTCTCCCTCAATCACTCCACAAAGACCCCTTCTTCAGCTTATGACACATGCCCTTCACTCAGGTGGAAGCTATTCTTTGTGTTATGCTGTCTCTAACTATTTTACAGACAAATATAAATGCAGAATCACAAAGAAGTAATGGGCCCAAGTACCTCAGCATGTGCCCTAACTTGGCAAGAGAAAGAGAAATCATTTATTTTGGCAACAGACAAAAAATAAGCATAACGTGGGTATTTTGCTGAACAGATGCAATACAGTATCAGCTCTAACAGGAAAAGGAGGAAAGGAGAAGGACTTTTGCATACATACATATTTTTTAAGTATCATTTCTGGTTCTGAATTTCAGAAAACATGCAGATATTCTTCTCCTATCCACACAAATTATTCTTCTGTAGGTCTGGTTATCTCAAACACCTTTTATAACTGTATAATATGAAAAGCTTACACTTTTTTTTTCAGTAACAGGGTCTATTTTGTACATTCAGCTTAACTTACACATTACCAACTTGCTTATTGCTTATTTCTGTGGAATATATTTGTGTTATCTTTGACTATGAATCCAAATACACATTTCCAGAAGAAAAGAAGCACAGGAAAACACCGGCTACTTGAGGTAAGTGGCCTAAAGAGATAGCATGCGGGGGTCAGAAGGCCATTAAAAGAACTCTTTCAAGGGATTAAGTGGTAGATCAGTCAATTATAGATGTGCAAGATACTGGAGTGAGAAAGCATTTCTATCTGCTTTTATCACAGTCTTTTTAAACTAAATACATGTAAATATTCCATGGAACAGAACTTCCAGTTAACTGAATGTACAAAATAGAGAGCGGAGATGGAGCACCAGAGAGCAGCAGTGTCTTTGTAACATACCTGAAGGGTCAGTAGCTAGTAATGTACTATTCTAAATATGTGTCCAGATGCATAATCTCTCTAGTACTTTTCCACTGTGCAATAACTTTCCTCGTACAGCATTCTTGAACTAAAACCTGCAACCCAGTGAAACATGAATATATTGGAGAAGACAGTCTGAGCTTTTCAATTATATGTTCACAAAAATAAAAAAACTTTGACAGTGAAAGGGTTCTAGGGAATCAAGATCTGCCATAAGCCTACCAAAAAATGCTATACATGGCCATATGTATTTGTACAGCTGTACTTTCATTTTTAAGTCAGGCTGATGTAGAAAACACAAATGATGAAGCACAGAAATCAATTTGAAGTAAAGAATTTATGAAACATATCCACTTTATGCTGCTAGCAATTTCTGAAAAATGTAAAGGACACAGAAGAGTGGCCCACATCTACTGCACTATACACAATTGCATGGTACGTAGGTTGCTCCAAAAGTAATGCTTCCTATTTATTTCCTTACAAACTACAACAGATACAAAGAGCACAGTAGCATTATTTGATAGAGCAAATTCTGAGCTACAAAACAATAGCCAACATAGTCACCGCCATTAGCTATGTATTTTCATCGGCCATGAACAAGAGCCTGAATACCACGCTTGTCAAAATCTGCACCAGAGAGGTGACCCACCATTGTTTTCACTACTGCCGAAATGCAACATCCACCACCTTCCTGTGCTTACACTCACTGTTTTGTCTCCATAAATATTCATCAAACATTGGTTTGATTGTTTGTTGGAAGAATTCAATTCTACACCTTTGCTTTATCCACACTTCTATGTCAGATGCCATTCTGTCAGAGCACCTCTCTGCTGCCATCTGTCACACTACAACAAAATGTAACAGAATAATGATGGGAAGGTTCAACCCCTACTGCCATATTACCAACACCCATCTCTGACATCATGGGCTAACACAGTAAAATAGAAAGTATTACGTTCAGAGCAGCTCTTGTACTTCAGCACTACTGAGTAGGAAAAAATCATGCAATTATATATTTTGTGAGCGTGGTACCACATGTATGGTATGATGGTATCACAATAAATATAAGGGAAACAGAATGTCAAAGTGATTTCTTTTTCCCTTAAACAGCTTCATATTGTTAAGACTGTTAAGATTAACTAATTTATATTGAAGACATTGAGAAAAAACATGTCTGCAATGAAGTCATCACAATTGCTTTTGTTATGGACATACACACTCGAATTTACACCAGAAGTCAGACTCTCTAAGTATACTCATTTTATGTTTCTTCTAAATGTTACTGAAAATCTGCCAAACCTGGAAGTTGAATCTCATGGACATATAACCTGAGAATTAAAAAAAAAATCAGTGAAGCAGGCTCTGCTTCATGAACAACATACAAAAACTCTGCTACAGCAATGGTCTGTGACTATCACCCATCATTTTACTTTGTAAGCCTCCACACCATTTCAAATTTACCCCAATTCATGGTGCTGCTCTCAGTTCCCTTAAGTCATCATTGCACCCAATTGTCTAATTTTTAGGTTGGTTGATGGTCATCTAAGGCCTTGGCAAAAATATTTTTAACTTTAATCACTTCATATCAGATGAGGAAGTGCTGTTATTTCATCAAAGATTGGCAGCTCACCTGTCTCTTCCCCTCACTATTCTTGATTTTGACACATAGAGCCTAGGTACCCAACCACCTGGCAGATGAACATGCAGGCCTGGAGGATCTGGCACTCTGCTTTGTTAATTACACTAGGGGAAAGTATGAATAAATACTGTTCACCTTACATGGTGGTAAATGACATATCCACCAGCAAGGCAGCAGCAAGTTAGGCTTTGAGATTTATCTCAAAAAGTGCTCTGCACCTTTATATGATGAATATCACCAGCATAAACTGCTGGTCTTCTTTTACCATTCAGGAAGATAATGCTAAAGTTCTGGTTTTTTTTTTTGGTTTTTTTTTTTTTCATGGGTCTTGCTGGAAAAGAGTCTGCAGAAAATAATTCAATATGCAGAGTTGCCACTTGAAAATATGCTTCAGTTGTAGTTGCACTAAAACTGGAATTCAAGACTATACCAAAGCCTTTGGGAACATATTTATTGGTGGCTTTCCAATTTGGCTTATCATCCTTTGTTCTCTGTCCATTCCCCTTACCATCCTAAGGCATTCTCAAGTTTTAAAATATGTTCAAGATCAATTTCTGGAACAAAATACTGGTTTTGTTTCACAATCTGCCAAAACAAAACTTATTTCTTATGAACCTGAGCTTTTAATCTTACTTCCTCCCAACAACAATCTTGAACATCCAAAATAAAACCCTTTAGTATTCCTTATCCTAATCACTAAATTCCTCCTTCCTAGCACTCTCAGATCTCTTTTCCTGTGGCTTCTAATTATCAAGAAGGGAAGACATACTCTCACTCCACCCCTTTCTTTGTTTGTTCTCAACAATTACTCAACATATGAGCATTCATAATTTCATAAAATTTAGTAGCTCAGACTGAGAATGAGTTCTTGTCTGTATTAGTCTTTTTAGGAGATATTTGTAGAGCTTTATCCACATTAAAATTTGAAATGCCTTTATAATATTCCACCTTTTGACAGTTAACTTTCTAAGTTTAAGGTAGACTAGATTTATTTTGATGTCAGTCTTGAGCAACAAGCACATCCAATGGCCAATTGAACATAAGGATCCTAGACTTGGGCTAACTTTACACTGGGAAGAAAAAGTACTACTCCCTTGTGTCTGGAAAGTGAGAAATACCTTTTAACTAGCTCTCAGTTATCCGAAGTTATGTGACTTTAGTCTTATACTATTGTCTGAGTAATAGTTTCATTTTCTGGTAGGCATTTGAGTAGTAGGAGTAACCAATATTCTCCGATAAAATATTATATGGGTGATGAATTGAGAGTGTGCTACCATTCAAAAAGGTTTGCATTGCATTTGATGTTTGGTTTCTTTTCAAATGTAAGATGTATACATAAATAACTGATATAATTCAAACATAAAGCAGAAGGTTTTGGGTTTTTTTTATAACTATCCATGAACATAAAGGGAAATTGAATTCTGCTTCATGGAAAAGTCTTTTCTAAAGTTTTGAGGAAGAACGAATAGCCATAATATCTTTTTTTTTTTTTTTTTCTTCTGGGAGAAGACAACAGTAATTTATTTTCTTCTATTGCCTGAAAGAGCTAAGAAACAAAGAAAAAAAATTGTACATAATGCTTTTCAGTAACTGATTAGAGCCATGGCTGATTTAACACCTCTGAAATGGTAGAACATGAGTATTTAAAGAACAAATGACACTGGCTCTCTGTGGCCAACACTATGCAGTAGTTCTCTCAAGGATGCTATTGTGTTGCCTATATGCAGTAATAAAAACTTGTCTCACTGAAAGAACAATTTGGCCACAGCAAAATCTATGACAAATTGATGATTCCCCTGACTAATACTAGCTCTAACTGTAAACTGTAAAGTAGCAAAAGTAATCACAGATTACCACCATTCACAGAAGCAGTTGTTGAGGAGCAAAGTAGTGAATGTCACGTAGCAATGTGGGTACAGTGAGAATATATCAGTTGCTGCAGCAGTGTGTTTTAGACTCCATGACTCCATACACACATTCTATTTTACTTATCTGTCACTCTTTAATGTAATTTAATAAGATGAAATACTAGACAGATTTTGTGGTAATTAGAGTCGCTTCACTTAGCAGGTAGAGTCACGTGACAAAAAGGTTGACAGACTTACTAAAAGAAGATCAGCAAATAAGTATGTTTTCAGCAAATGCTTCACTTTGTATTACTAGTAAAACAAGATGCATGTCTGAAACAGTTCTACAGAAATATCCAAATCAGAATAAAGATTCACATATACCAGACACTCTACATAAAAATATGTAAATGTAAAAAAAGTCATTTGAGTAGCTTGTAAAATCTGAAGACTTGCATATTCAGATCATTTAGTTACAAACACTGCTTAAACCGATAATATGAGTTGCTTAGAATACTCAAGTACTAAGTACTCAAAAGTACTCTATGCAGCCATCCATAGGCACATCACATCTATTGTGTATCAAAACCAAAGTTCTCCTAAGATCTGATCTCTTAAGTGAGACCTGGACTCTAACCACTCTCACGCCACGTTGAGTTCACAACAAGCTAAAACTCTCAATTTTCTCATAGTAGGATAATCTCATGCCATTAGAATTATCCTTCCTCATACCTAAGACTGTTTAAATGAGTTGAGAGAGGCAACTGTACTTTCAACTTCAGTATCAGCCCCATCTGCATGTTGTCTTAAAGATGAGCTGGATCAGGTCAGTCTTTAACAGCTTCATCTGCATCACATTTCCACCAGAGTACTCTTTAGAGCAAACCTGGACTCAGGCCAAGGAGGCTGGCCGAACTGCAGTTCCATTCATTTGCACCGTACTATTAGAAAATCATCAAAAATTGAATCTACCAAATTTGTTTCAAATCTATAAATAAAAATGCACACTGAAAGCAAGCATGCTCTCTAATGGCTACACATCTCAAAGGGGTCTGAGCACACTACATTAAAACAAAGCAATAAGGAAATCATACTTGATTTCCTACTCCTAGTTTTCAGTCAACTCATATACAGTACAGTTAATGTCAGGTAAAATTAAATATCATCTGCATTTCTGTTGTCAAAATTGAGCCCAAGATGGCATTTATGTGTACATGAATTTGAAGTTCAGAGGTATCAAGAACTTCCAGCCTGAATACATTTTTTATTTTTTATTTTGATCCAGATGACTTTTCTGAACAGGTTGTTTCTTCATTTCTATGAATAAGGACAGAGAATTCAGATGGAGAATCTTATGGAATCCCAAATTCTGTGAGTAAACAGTTTAAGTTTACCTTATTTGGCTGGTTGTTTAGTTTTATTTACTTACTTTATCTGCATAAAAGAAACAATGACAGAGAAAGGCCCATTGGGAATTACCATGCAAATGAAATTACACTTGAATTAACAAGCTGAAATTAGGGAAGTAATTTGTTGTGTTGCTAATCATCCTTAATGTAATCAGCTTATATTTGTTTCTCGGCCTCCAAATCATTAGTATGACTACATACTACATACTGGGAATTTGTTGGATTCTGTGCACGACCACAAACGCATCTGATAGTCCAACTTTCACTGGGTGGTTGGTTGAGCTTATCTGTGACACAGCAACAGGAATCTGGAAGACAAAAAAGGAGGACATGCATGAACAATTGAACTAAAAAAATTGAGCCAAAAATTAACATTATTTTCAGAATGAACACTTAGCCATTGTAACTTTATATAAGTATGTAATATAATACACCAAATTATGAGTAAGGATGTATTAAAGATTGAAAATAGAGTTTTCAATTTTATTTTGTCCCGCTTCATTTAGAATTTTATATAACAATATTCTAATCAAAATTTAGAGGTGGGATATTTTTAATAATGACAGAGGAAAGAGCAGGAATTTTCAGTAATTTATTTCCCCCAGTTGAAGACAAATTGGTATGAGGTGCTAGTATCAGACATGGAGGAGGCATTACCTCTTGTCTGCTATTAAACACTTGAATAGAAAGTTCAGTTTGGGATGAGCAAATAAAAATTTATGACTCAGGTAACTTGCACTGAAAAGTGTTTTACAATCTATTCGAAAATATTTTCAGTCTGAGGATGTTCATATTCAACATATTTTGGAGTAGCGGGGAAATTGTTCTAGAAAATTTTGAAAATGTCAGATATACATTGACATCTACAGAAAGGAATAAAAGGACTTAGAGAGTCATCTACTAGTCCAGCTTTACAGAGCAGAGATATTGATGCCAGGTAACATAGTTTTATGAAAGTAGGCATTATCAAATTTTATTTCATTTTTTGGAGAAGACTGCAGCTTTGGCTGATCATTGCATATTTGAATTGTATAGTAGAATTCTGTAAGGTTTTTACTTAGTTACAAGTAAAATGTATGTATATAATATTAATATAGTTAATCAGACTAATCACAAACTTATCCATCATCAAAGGATCAGATTTTCTTAAAGTCTGGGAAGGAAACATAAATTTACTGTCTACCAGTTCCTCAAATGATACTCACAGAGTAAAAATAGTGAAATGTTTGGATGAATTAGCAAATTAGAACTTTTGAAAATTATAAAGTTACAGCTTATATAACAAAGTGTGAAGTAGAAGTCAGGGGATCATTTTCTGGAAATCAACAGTTCTGAAAGGACTTTTGGGATGGTAGTGAATGAGCAACACCAGTTTTCAGAGGAGTAATCAGAGCAAGAAACTTAATTGATGTGATATCTGATTACATAAACAGTGAAATACAACCTAAGAGTGACGTTGCTGCTTTATATTTATGCACATTAGATAACTACTGAAGTTTTACACAGAATTTAGGAGGGTCTATTTCTTGAAAAGATTCTGAAAACTAAAGGAAGATCAAAAGAGTCACAAAAATCATTTGAAAGCTTCTGTAGTTCTCAATTGCCATTAATATTGTTAATGAGATTGATTTGTCTTCTCCAAAGAAAGTGGAACACTGACTTGATTACCATGAACAAGCACTGCCATGAGGAGAAATAACTCTAGGGCTAAAGAATTTTTGCATTCAGTACAGAAAGGTACAACCAGAAGCTGAAAACTGCACACAGTTTCAAAGTAGAATAATATTTCTATGATTGATAGTTGTTAACCACTGGGATAAACTGCCAAAGGAAATTATCAACTCTACCCACTGCTGCTTTCAAATCACAGCTGGATATCTTATTTTTGAAAGCTAGCCTATAGTTAACCAGGAATTACTAGACTGAAGACAGAAGAAACTGGATCAGATGTTACAGACTGAGATGCAAGGTGCTAACTCAGCTAATCTAATAGTATACTCTGGTTTATCTATGTGAAAATAACAAAACTATACTGTTGGACAGTGTTTTTCACTTGTCAGATAAAATCTAAAGAAAAAACCTTTAATAATCCAGTGAATGAGGATTCAGTATTGTCTTTTTGCCGACCAACCAACAATGATATGTTTTCTTGTATTTGAGTTTAAATGTAGTTTGTTTTTCCTTTTCCTTGTTCCCAAAATCTCCTTTAGCTTTGATTTCACTAGAATCAGGCTAGGAAAAGTTAAATTTGAGAAAATCAACATAAAAAGTGAGTTCTAGTAAATTAAATACTGTCATAAATTTCAAATTATTTTACATTCTCTACAATCTGTGAATTTGTACTGTTTTGGCTGCATTTATCTGGAGCTTCTTGTATACCTGATCTACAAGAAATAGTTTGGTAATACTGCTATTTTTACATCATTTTAAGCTTGGCTTGTATCAGCTATTAGATAAGCTTGTATCAGCTCAGCTGCGATGCATATATTGGAGAATATGATATATGATATTGAAAAGACATACTTTCAAAGTCCTCCAAATAAAAGACTTACAGAGTTCATAACAAGTCTATAAATTTTCTTTAGCATGAACACAAACAAAACAAGGGAAAATTATTCACAATCTCAGAATACTTTAGAGAAATACATACATTAATGACGAGGGAAACTGTCTTGAAAGATTTTGAGAACACAATATCAAGTCAGAATATCAAGTCACTGGTTTGAAGAATGCAATGACTATCTCTCTTTCAAGTTAGGAAGGAAATGAAGCAAATGAAGAAAGGAATTAGTTTAGAGATACAAAATAAAGCTGGAACTGGTGTTCAGGTAGGTGTATGATCTGCAAAGTGTGCTGGAAAAATGGCAGCAACTTTTAAAAAGCTGTTGAAATTTTGAATAAGTGCTTTAGAAGCAGAAAAAAATATGTAAGATAAGGAAGTCTCACAAGTTAAATGAGTGTAGCCAGCTCTTCAAACTGTGATATAACTTACGTCCAGTAAGTAGTCATATGGAGCAAAAATGTAAAGTAGAGGTAATTAATAACCTAAGAAAAACTCTTGAAAAACTGCAGCGTAATTAAATCTGCATTTTCAAATGCATATTTTTATTCTTATAGTAGGGGGAAATAACTGATTTTACAGAAAAAACATTTAAGTCTATCAGTGATGAGTGTACTGAGCTTACAGGGGAAGTCTTTTCAACGAGATGAAAGGATAAAGTGGACAGTTACCATATTATGTATTTTTAGAGAATACACCCTTTTGATAGGAAGCTTATGATAAGTGACATGTTTGTCATTGAAAACTACATCCATACACAGCTAGTAAGCAAATAGCTACTGTTCTGAATCTCTCCTTTGAATGACAAGGCACGTCATGACAGGCTGACAAGTTGAACAGTTGAGCAAGGAGTTTTATGACGTTGTATAAGGATGATGGATTTTAACTAGAATCATTCCAAAATATATGTTGATTCTACCGTCAACAATATGAACTCTTATACTGTGTAAATCACAGGTATATGAATGAGCTTCCCAAATGCTTTGGGGACGCTGACATCTCTATTGCTGATTAAGTAATTCAACAACAGGGAGAATACTTAGAATTTATGCTGAATTCCATTCTTCCTTAGGCACGGTAATCTAGACAGTATTTTCCATCTGAGAACTCCCAAAGTTTTTTCTTTTCAACTTTTCTCTGAGGGCTACTCAGAATCTTACTCTTCAAAAAAAAAAAAAAAAAAAGAATAAAATAATGGCCTCTGACCTTATTCTGAAGGAGATGGTAAGCAGGGTGCAATTACTGCCCCACATCAAACCCGAGTCAAAGATAATAGCCAGAGTAAGCTGCAAAATAATAATTAGGAATACAATAGTACTTATATATAGGATTTCCATTGCCAGTTTCCTCAACAAATATTAAAGACCAAATTGCATGAAACTTATTTTCGGTTTTAAGTTGAATAAACTGAACACCTCACAAACCAGAGATCCTACTTCCATATTAATATTTTTGATAATAATAATAGCAGAGACAAAAAAGTGCCAAAAATGTATAACGCAGGCAGAATATTTGTTCAGATTGTTCAATTTTTAAATTTTCTATTAACAATCAGGAGGCTTGGAGTATTTGGAGCCTCAAAATGAAATACATTCTATCACATATAGCAGGAAAATCAATTTTATACAAGTGTCAGTAACTAATCACACACATTCACTTCTGCCTACTTGTACAGTAGAAAGGAACACTAAGTCTCAGAATTATATTATTACTTCACATTTTGGGCAAACTGAACAGGCATTTCAACTTTTATAAAGGTTTCTGGATAAACAGGGAGTCATTGCTATTTAAATGAACGAAGAAAGTCTTCAAGAGAGTGAAATTCAGAAAAATATCATAAACCATTAACAAAGTCATTGGTACTTCTGCCTAATTTGTCCTGCATTAATCACAGAGGAAAACAAAACAAAGTGTGTGGAACATTACGCACTAGCAGGAAAAGATTATAATGAATAGTCACATTGTTCAAGAAGAAAAAAGAGCTCCTGAAAACTGAACTTCTGAGAAATGGACAATATAAAAAAAGTACTTGCTACTAAATTATACCAAAGTATTCATTTGCAGGAAATACTCTTTCATTTTTTTTCTTTCTACTGGATAGATTGTTCAGTACCTTCAGTATTTTACATATAGCAGAGGTGTATCACCTCCTGCAATTGACATATTAAACACTTGCCAGAACGCCAACTAATGGTGTAAGCAAAGTGTTACTTAAAATGAAGATATGTGCCTGTTAAACATACTAAATTGGGAAATAAATACATATTTGACTTGTTTTTGGACCTTGCCATATTTTCTTTACAAAAAGGAAAAGAAAAAACTGTACCCAGTACATAAAAATTGCTTGGATATTCCCACTGTAATTCAATGCTGATATTCATTCTAATATTATGTTGATATTAATTCAGACCTTATGCCAATATTATCTGACATTCTGATATTAATGCTAAACTGAATCCAATATTTATGTACAGGAAGAATATCAGATGAACAGATTAGCAAACACAATAGTTATGATTTTTAGTAGGGCTAGATTCACCTTTGCAAAGCATTTAAGAATTAGACAAAATACCAAAGTAAATCTCGTGCATTTCAACTAGTTTTCTCATTTTGAAAACTTGACTGCATAGCTACTTCACTTACTTATTCACTTTTCTGAAAGATATTCAGATATCTCCAGATTTCACAATTTTTGTGGCTCGGCTTCTTTTCCACATTTTTATTTCTTTTAGAATCTATTATGGATCTCAGATAACAAGCATGCATTTCAGACTGTTTCCTGCTAGGCAAACTACAGAACACAGAAGATTGGACAGATCTCCCTGACTCTCAGCAGACTCTAGCCAAGACCTTGCTTTGGTTATCAACACCAGTTTTATGAGATAGCAAATGTGATTTGGAAGCAGGAAGGAAATGAAGAGGGAATCTCAAATAGTTTGAATAAATCATAAATAAAAGGTAAAATCTAGTTCCTATTTGTATTTTCATTAAATGTATAATCCAAATTATTTTATAAGTGGATTCTTCAGGATAAACTTCCATTGTCACTCACAGAGTCCCTGAGGGATGCTTTATAATACCACTGGCAACCTGTGTGATACATGTCTTGCACTGATGTTTCAGCTTGAAAGCTTCCTATGACAATACAGTGAATCCCTCACAGGTTTGCCATAGATCACTGTCATTTTTGATGAAATGTGATGTTAACATGAAGTGGCACCAAAAAGATGGTAGAAATCTTCCCTTTCTACTTTCACTCATGCTAGTGAGCACTCAAATCAGTAATTTTATTGGAGCTAACGGGGCCTGTGACAATATTACACACCAGCAAGAGAAATTATTCCATAATGGAAGATTTCTGAAAGCACTGGATTTAGAAACCAAATCAATTCCTATCTGGGTGCATAAGCTCTGGAGTTAAGATTTAATTTACAAGTGTCTCAATTTTTGTCTTTGGACAACTTGTGTTTGATCAATAATTGGAAATATTATTTCATTTTCCTGAATGAGGTAGTTTTAATGAAGTAAGGCACATGGCGAATACAGTCTTCAAAAGATCTTATTCTCCAAATTAACTACACAAATCCTAGCGAAATATATAATTGCAATAATTTCACAAAATTATTTGCAGACAACAAGTACGTAACTACTGTCCTAGAAAAGTCTCTGTCCTTGAATGAGTGCGATAGTTCTAAAGAAATTTCATTCAGGACAAGAATAATTTGTGACAGTCTGTACTGTGCAGGGAATTTGAGAGGTTCCATTGCTGAGCAGTGGAAAAAAGCCATAAATTACCACATTTGTAAATTCCAATTCTTTGTGTTTAAGGATTACTGAAACAGATGATCACAACCTACTCCTAGAAAGCAGATGAGGTTTGGAGGAAGCTCTCAGTAGAAACAATGAGAGCAAGAAGCCCATCCAACGCTACCACAGAACTTGCTAGGTTTATCCATACATCATATAGCATAGTTGCTAATGAAGTGACCCATTTCCTCCCATCCTCCTAAATGAATAAAATATTCTCTGCCTGGCATACAGCATCACTGCATTCATTTGTGCAAAATGAACACAAGATACTATCATTTTAGAGCAGCAGCTTCTATCACCAATATTAAATTCATTTTGCAGAGTTCTAGACATTGACAGAAAGGGTTCAGGATCTGATAGCCAGGAATAGCAGTTTTCTCATAACACCACCACTTTGATGATAGTTCTTAGCAAATTCATTTTAAAATTACAAATTGAAGTAATGTAACTCCCCACTTCTCTGGGCCTTGAAGGAAGGACATTTTCCGTAGTCTTCCAAAGCTTTTTTTCCTTTAATAAGGTTTCAACAATAGGAGATAAAGATGCTTTGGTGCACAGTCATTTGACAAAGCTCAGGCTCCTCTCTGGTAACCAGAGCAAAGCTTTTCTGAAGCTGGAGTCAACATGTTAATAAAGCACATTGATGAATACTATGGCACATAATGTTCAGAAACAAACCAAGAGTCAGAGACATCAGCACATCTTCTATAAGATAAGGAAAACCAGGTATGTGGGCATATCAGAAGTTTCTTTCATCTACAAAAATAACTCAGAATATTCTGCAGCAACCCTGTTAGCAAGGTGCAAAGACATTTATCATAAGATATTAATGCTACTAGTAGAATAACCCAGACTCCCACTAGCTTTCTAATGAAGGGGAGAGTAGTATTGCTTCATTTAGATACATGGCTTTGACACAAGCATGATAACTGAGCCTGACAGCACACAACTGGTCTGCAGCAGAGGGAGAAGAGAAACCAGATTTCCCCGAATCTGTAAAATAAGTCATATCACTAGTAACATTTTTAACGTGGAGGATAAAAATACATTTACATATTCAAAGAAAAGTCACAATTTCTTACACTCTCCATACTGGACTGAGATTAAAATATTAAAATAATCAAAATAATGAAAATGAAAGAAAGCATTCCTTGTCCTTGCAGACTTAAACTTATCCACCTGTTGATGCTCATTTGGAGGACACTGCCTTGGAGGTATAGCCTCAGAACTAGTCTAGTATTAAGAAAGATTCATCAGAAATATTGAAATATACAACAGAAATTCTAAAGGACTTGGAAAATGCACAAGATCCCAATCGAGACAGCAACATACTGAAGCTAAGAAGATAAACCAAATGGCTTCAATCTAAACAGAGTTATCACCAAAGAAATGGAAAGCCTCACAGAACAGAAGACACAAATTAGTTATTTATTATTTGAAATATAAAGACCTTGAAGACCTTCAGTAGACAAGAAATTGAAAATGTAAAAGAAAGGTAGCCTTTCAGTACTAATCTTTGATGCTAGAGTATTTAAGTTGGTTGAACAAATTGAGAATATTGCCCTACATTTCAAAGCTGGAAAAAAATCTACAAATCAATCAAGACTTTGCTAACAACCAACACTTACAATCATACAAAATGGGCCAGCTGAAATCTAGGAGTAGCACATTCGAGCCATGTTGATGTTTTTCAAATCCATCACATGAACATCACTTTTACAATGAAGTGTAATTTTCTGCATAATAGGTGACTTAAAAGCAATATGTGGAAATGGTCTTATACAGTTGAACTTAAAAACATCCATCAAAAATGGGGGAAAATTCCTGACAAGTATAAAGAGATTTTTCTACTCAAATGAAAGTTTTCTGACCCAACTTACTTCTTTGTAGCCGAAAATGATACGCCCATCATTGAGAAGGGTGGCCTGAAAAGTGAAACTGCCCAGGTTGTAATTATCCTGCAGATGAACATGGTCCCACTGGACAACTAGTGCTGTGCCTGTGAACCCCAGAGGGGGGGTGGAGAGGCAAAGGGAAGAAAAAATGTGAGAAAAATATTAACTGACTGTAGGAAAAGTACTTAACTGCAGTTACTTGAAACAAAAAACAGTGATTTTTCTATTTAGTGACTCAGCCCAGCATCTGAAGAGCCGAAGGTATTACAAACATAAGTCGCAGATGAAATCTTCTTAAGGATAGACATCACAGAGCCACAAATAACTACCTCAGCTACTCACACGAGTCTGTTAAATCAAGAGTGGCCAGATAACTTGTTTGGAGATGCATAAGAATCTCTGAAACAAAATCCAACATTCACAGGTGTGCCTCCATGGCTTTTCTTCCACTATCTACATATGATATGTTTACATATATACACCATGGAGACTTCGAAAAGCGAAGTGCTAATAGCACTACCTGTTTTGTGAAACTTATTATTTGAAGAACTCATATTCTTCCATTAACTATGCATTAATATAAATAGTGTTATTTTTTTTTCTGCATAGTGCAAACCCTTGCTGAGGCTCTGCAAATTGAAAAATATTAGAAACCAGCAATAAATAAATACAGCTTGAATTTAAACCACAATTCATAGCTGGAGTGAATATTAAGTCTGATGTGCAGAGATTTACTTGTAAGAGACTTGTTAATATTCATAGGAGTTCTCTTGTTGAATATCCGCTTACTGCAATAAAAATGTACCCCAAGTGACTTGCATATCCTCTGAGCATGTTGTACAGATGTTGAGGGTTACAGATACTTTCAGGCAGCTTGGCTGAAAGACACTTATCACCAGAGTTGTGTTTACTGAAAAATGTTTCTTTTTTTGTCTCCAAGACACTGTACCCAACATATTATTGTTTTGGTGCTAATGGGAGTTACGTGCTTTGATTCACAACAGTTTAATTTTGTTTCTTGCAGAGTGTTCAGGGTAGCTCAGTTTGCTTCTAGCTCAAGTATTTTTGATATATCCTTGAAATATTGTTTGTTACAGATCTTCAGAGTTGTAACTTTTATTAATATATCTGGTCAAAAGATGTCACTGAACTGTGAGCATGCAAATTTTTGGTGCATACTGCAGTAAGTACATTGCATCACTGGCCCATGTGTCTTTAATAAATACAGCACTGCTCAGTAATTTGAGCATTTGTCTCTGCATTTTTCCTATTGCAATCAAATGTATTAACTGTTAATCATTAATTCTTATTGGAATATACTAAATTTCATTTTAAAGGAATGTAGAGGGACTGTTAAAACTATTGGAGCAAAAATAGAAACATTTATAGCCAGTCCAGAAGTCAGAATACCAAACTAAAGCGGAGGTCAGCTTCCTCCAAAACACTGTCTCCTCATTCCCAAGGACACTTGTGTAGGTTCATGAGAATGTAGGCAATTGCCTCCACAATGGTGGACAGGTCACCACACTCTGTGCTTTTCCAATACAGATGCAGTTCTAACCCAGCACACTTGCCCAGAGGGATAAGACAGCAATGAATAAGTTATAAGGAGCTGAAGAGACAACTCACACTTTTAAAAAAATTTGGGGTAAGATGGCAAATTCTTTGTCCCAAAGAACCTTTGGTCCTAAAGATCATCATAACTTATGCATGAGGAAGAATATAAAATTTCAAAAATATATTCAACCCTGTAATAGAAGCTAATAAATCTTGTATGGAATACAATGATAATCAATAGTATCTTTCCCAGAATATTGTAATTCTTTCAGGAAAGATGACAAATCTCAGGCCATGGTCTCAGATGATGTAAAAAATGAAAACAGTTATTTTTTTTCTTAGAATATTCAAGGACTAATATATTCTCATGCAACTCTGTTGAATTCTTAACAACTAAGGATGAGAATGTGAGAAATTTATGACTTGGTTAAAATAGTGATAGGATATATATTGACCACGGACCTGAAGAATAAAAATGTACACACTGATTGTAAATAGGATGTATTATTGGACATGTTCTTAATCTTTGTTTTAATGCACTGTGCACAACCATACAAAGGACTTACCAAGGAACACTTAGAAAAAAAACAGATTTTTTGATATCATCCCTAGGTTTGAAATTAAGAGTGAAGAAGAAGTGACGTTGCATTCAACCACTAAAGTCCTGAGGTAAGGCAGCTGGATGTCATTTAATCACATACGTTATGTTTTCAAAATATTAACTATAACCGAATTCTTGAAAAAACGTCCACACTTTTAAGGCACCTGAAATATTTTACAGAGTTTAGACTTAGCAAACGTTGCAGTTTGCCTTTTAACCTTTCAATTTTTTCTACAGGGGACTGCTGAGAACACATGGTACAGATGAGCGTATTGGATTCCAATCCTGGAACTCCATGGACATTCAGTCTTTGACAGGTTTATTAACCTTACACCTGCCTTTCTTCTGTATAGACTTGGTATTACACTCTATGAATACTTTTTATTTCCATTTTAGACAAGGGGCTGGACAGTATTTTCTGTATAATTTTTCAAGGAACAGGAACTTATACTTTTATAGAAGTCAGGTCTTTCCTTTTAAAATTGGTAAAACACATTGCTAGTTTATGTACTTTGATACACGACAGCAACCTACCCAATTAGGAAAAAGAACTGATGACTCTCTAACCATTTTATAGATAAAGAAATTTTTTGGATGTCTAGCCACATGGTTTAAATAGCCTGTGAGTTTAAAAAAATAGATACTGAAAAAAATCTTCAGTTTTTCCTTCAAAAATATTTAGGAAAATATGAAGAATCAAGGGACACAGATGCATTTATTTACGAAGGACTACTACATACCATTATCAAAGTATCTGACTGTTGAATTTCTTGATACACTGGGATCAAAATTTGCCATTAAGGGTGCAATATATTGTGTAGCTGTTAGCATTCGATGCACAACTTCTCCAGTATATATGAAACCTACAATAAAGAAAAAAATATTGTGACTATTTCAGTAACTTCTGAAAAGATTTAATAGAATAGCAGGTTTAAACAGGCATTGCCAGAGCAGTAAAGGGTCTTCTGAGAGAAATTTATCCCACCACCAATTTTGTAGTGAATTAAATAAGATCTAAAACTGCAGGAAGATATCTGCTTGTCAGAAGAACAAGATCCAAGAAAAACAATTGAACCACTACTTCAAGAAGACATTTTCCATACAGAAAAAGAACACAAAAACAGAGCAAACACAAGGAAGGCAAATTCCAGTTATGGACAAAAGGCAAATATATGGCATTATCAAAATGAGTCATTTACCACTATGTATATTCCATAGTTTTTTCCACACCTTCCAGCAATCTGCCTTTTTGCTATTTATTTATCTACATATTTGTTTTTGTAAATTATTACCTCTTCAGAACTTGGGATAATCTTTTCTCCTATTTGTAGAGAAACAGAGTAAGAGACAAATTCAGACAACCAGAAGCGACAATCTTTAAAAAAAAATAAAATGAGGAGTGGAACAAGTAGGCTTTTTTCATGATTGTAAGCCAAGACGTAATTCTGGAACATTCTCTGCGTTGTCAGATCTCACTAGTTTTTCCTGCTCATCCCCAAATCCACAACAGTCTTCAGACAATTGTACATCCTGGGTTGCTTCCACCAGCAGCTCTCACTTAAAAGCTCTACATAGTTTGGAATTCAAGTATTTCCTCTGAGGAAAAACAGTCATCTGTGCACTTAAATGGCAGAAAAACCTTGCCATTTTGAACAACTTATGCTCTACAAATAAACTTGCATTAAGGTTCATGAACTCCAACTAAACAGAGGGACTAACATCTTTAAATGCCAAACACAGTCTGACTTCAGAACTTTAATTCCACTGTAGTGTCTATTCTTAAATTCTATCTATTAAGCTCTTTTTGAAAAATTCTGTTACCAAGGTGGTGATCTAGGCAACTAAATACCTTTACGTCATTTAAAGCACACCTACGTATTCAAAGAACACAGCATTTTAACGTCCAATTTACTAAATCCTAGAATGAAACCTTTTCTCTTTTGCTAATCGACACAGAGAAAAAACATTTAAAAAATGAAAAACACTCACACATATTTACAAGTCATTCATAGACTTCATTAGTCATCGTTTTAGGGTAGCCAGCAGTCCTGTCAAAGCATAGTCCATGAAATGCATTTCATTTTTTTCCTGTTTATTGCTACATACTTCTAAAATATCACTGCCTTGAGAACCACTTCCTCATGTTTATTTAGACATTTTAAATAAATAAAATTTCATAAAATATTTGTGCTTTATATTATTTCCTTGGTCATGTATGCTTGTATTTTAACAGTCTTAGGTAGGTCTATAACCCTGAAATCACTCCTTAATATTTGAAGATAACAGAAACTCTGAAGCCATGTTCATGTGTTGCTCCTAGCCTTAATACTTCAGTACTTATTCATCCCTTATGCAATGCTCCCATCTTTACATACAGTTTCCCTTTCAGGTTTTCAATAGGAAAACAATAGGAAAACAAAAGACTTGCTTGTGTTACAACACATAACTAAGTCAATCAGCGCAGGTGATTAGTAATCAAAGAGTGTATTTCCAAGTGTTTGCTGGACACAGCTTTACTTTAGACAAAAATGAAAAGCATGAGGTGGATGATAGCTGGGAAGCAGGCAGGCCTTGCATGAAGATCACTCTCATGAGAACTCCAGTCTTGCATTGGAACAACTTGAAAAGAAACACAAAGTCATTTCAAATCATCCCAGACATTCAGAGGCTGTAGCCACTGTGGAGCATGGACATTTTATCTCTGTCACTACAACTTAAAGCAGCAAATGTAAAACTAACTTATTCCTGAATGGAATTCTGTAGAAAATTGGCTAATACTATCTGTGACCTAATTTTCTGACAGTGGCAAATGCTCATGGGTTATTAATTTAGTCAGGAAGAATTTTTCAGACCTACAATTTCCTGAATCACTTAATCTCTCCTTTGTGCGAGAGGCTGGAAGTACTCTCTTCCAAATCTCTCAAGTACTATATCTAAATATGTTCCTAAACATTGGAATGTTATCAAACAGGAAAGAGTGCTCAGAATACTGTAAGTTTCGCATGAATATATAAATCTAACAAAAACAAAGGATGGACTAATGCTAAAACCAATTGAAAAATCCATGAGGATGTATTCCTACTCCTCATAATGAGCAAAAGAACAGTCACAAAAACTAGGGGAAATAGATATGTAATAAATATGTATTGCTACTAAACTGTCAAAACATATTTTTTCTTGATGCAGGACCTCAGTTGATTTCAAAATGCATTTAAGAACTCTTCACTTTGAAATATCCTCTTTATCTGATGCAATTTATAATTTTCAGCAGTAGCTTTCTTGGCTCAGGAAATTTTCCTGGAAAACTTTTGAGAAACTGGAAAACTGGTGTACTCTGTTCTAAAAGAGCACAGCTATTTCAGTAGAAGCTTTTGGGTTGGCAAACCATCTCTAACATTTCACTTATGTTTAAACATGATAAAAAGGAGCTCTCCCATCACTTCTGTTGGTTATACTAGCCTGTCATTTCAGTGGCTTAAGTGGAATAGCCCTGGATGCACATCATGATCTGAGGGCACAACTGATGAAACAAGTAATCTGAAAATAAGATTAAAACAATTCGCACAGTAAGCTTTCTGTGGTTTCCTTTTCCTAATCCTTGTTGCACACAAAGTCAGTATCAATTAGGACATTTTTTTATAATGTTTCCCTGCTGTGCAGAATAACAATACATACTCAAAGCAGCACAGACAATGAGGCTTTTGAAGTTGCTATTGTGCATCTATAAAGATATGACAAAACATGGGATACGCAGGCAAAATAAAAATGAAATATCTATACTGATAATCATCTTCTCACTTCTAAGGCACTGCATGTTAGGTAACACAGAGACTGGTTTTATGTATCTGATGCTACAGTAAACTGGTTTGGCGCTTTAGCATCTAGTTGAATTAGAGCAAAAGCCAGTTTAGATTATAATATTGTGTGTGATTTTTTAAAAATTACCTAAAATAACTGGTCATACCTTAAAAGCAGAGATATACAGAGAATATACATAACTATATGCCTCTGTACTTGTGATGAGTACACTCCATGTTAGAATCTCAGCATTTCTTGAAAATTATGACTCCTTACATAATACCAGGTGGGTTGAACTTTGCCAGATGCCAGCTGCACAACCGGCCATTCTCTCAAAAAGGGAAAAGATGTTCTGGCAAAAAGAAAATTTTCAGGGGAAAAAGGATGACCGCAGCTGCTAGAAAAATATAACAAAAATAATGGTATTAAATAACAGTAATAAAATAAGTCGATGTGGAATTACTCCTTGAAATAGTCATCACATTGTTCTCATAAAAAAATGCTATAAAACTGCTTGTTCTACAAAATGATCTCTGCTGGAAATAAGAATATGAGACAATATTTCTTTTTCTTCCTGAAATACCAAAGCATTTAGCAAGAATAGGAATACTCTTAACTACTTTGTTTATACACCAGTAAGCAGTTTGACACAGACACTAAAAATAGAACTGTAACTTCCCTATTTCCTTTTTTTTTTTATATTTCCTTTTTTTTCATTGATTGACTAAAAGTCAGATAAGTTTGGCCCAAACTTCATTAAAAAAACAAACAACAACAACAAAAAAGAACAAAACTCTTATCATTATTTTTGTAATGATAGTATGTATTGGCTCATATACATTTTGTACAGAAGCATTCATATTTCCCATTACAGACATGAATTTCAGTTTTAAAATCTACAAAGTCTATGTGTTTTAAAAGTTCACCTTCCACATTAGCTGGAACCCAACCATGTTCCAGACCATGGCAGAAAATCTTCAGCAAGCTGGTTTTGGCATAGAATGTGCTTGAAAATATTAACTCACAGGGAAGCGAAAGACAGATGATTTTTTTTTTTTTTTTTTTTTTCAGAAGTAGCTTAATTCCAGATTAGAGAACTGACAAGATGATTCTTGGAACTTAAGAATAAGTGAAAAATAATGTAGTAAAAAAAAAAGCAATAAAAGTGTGAGACAAGAACCTGGAGTTCAAAACAGATTTTTTTTTTTTTCTTTCCTATAAAAAGAAAAGCTGTTGCATACAAAATATTAAATATAATAATAAAAAGAATTACAGGAAAGAAATGACTGTTTTGAAAAATAACTTACTTTCTTATCAGGCACCTAATGTTAAGTGAAACCATACATTAAAACTCTTATTAATAGCATAAACTGTGGTTACTTAGCTGGAAAAGAAACAGTCTGCTTACAGTTAATGAACAATGAATGGTTTTGCATGAGAGAAACAATCACTGGGTGAAGGCAGCGCTTGCATTCAAGCATACATCTCAGTGTGGGTTTACTCAAGTGCCCTTGCAGCATATAAACTAGAAGGCAAATAACAGAGCAGCTTCCAAAACAACAGAACCAGAAACGGTTTCCATAAGAGGGTAGGCTTCAACCCAGATCACCCAAGGGAAAGCCTAGATTTTAGATAGTATATTCAAATACGAAACAGGCTTAGCAGAGATGTAGTAACACATACACACAGTGAAATGTTTTGCTGAATAGAGGAACTATTTCTTTCATTTCTCCCAGTTCATTTTCCTACTTAAATGTGGTGAGCGCATACAACTTCTCATTTTCCTCCAAATCCCTCTGAAAGCTGTTTGTGCAGCCAAGAGAGAAAACTGCAGCAGAACTGGCAGGAGCTTCCTGATTCTCTAGCCACTTCTGCTTTGGTCTCAGCATAATCAAAGGTTTCTGAGGCAATCTGTCCTGTGATATTTCCTGTGACCCCCAAACTACCTCATGGGTAATGGTGCTTCAACTCCCTCTTTACCATTTTAGACCCAGAGTACTGATCTTTTTTGATGGAAATCAGAATCAGCACAAGTACAGTACCATATAGACAAATGTTTTCAAAA